AAGGAAAATAAAAATAAAATTAAGAATAAACAGAAATCAAGAGAAATGCCACCACAGCTGAGACAAACACAACCCACTTTCCCCTTTACTAGAATCATCACTGCCAGGGATGGTAGCAGGTTCAAAATTTTATCTACCTGGAACCAGAATCAGGTATCACCTACTTCAGTTCATGAATAGCAAAGCAATCAGATTTTTGTTTAAGGGCATGTAGTCTCCCTGGCCACTTGCTGGAAGCAGCTCCACATAATATACCTCTAAATCAGGTGCACGTAAGACTCCCACAGCTTGGAAACATATTCTGTCCTTAACACTAAAATGATCTGTTCAGCCTACTACTTTAATAATAATGACTATTTCATTCACAATTGCCGCTCAGTTTAATAAGTCATTGAAGTTTGCTTATTTAATAATTTGGTTATTTAATAGATTTGAACAGCAGACAAAAAGGTGAAATGTCCCAAAATTGTCTTCTTAGTCTTTACAATTTACCACCTTCAATTGCTAAACAGTCAGAATCTAAACCTGCATGGGAAAGTTAGCGAGTTCACCTGTCCACAGTAACTGACTTGCTTGAGAGAATTTGTTCTAGGATATTAGTGAGTTATCTGTGGAGCACCAACAAATGCTAATTTTGACAGCATTTATTTCTGTGAGCCTTAAAATACTTTCCCTACACTCACATAAGAACCTCACTACATACAGAGGGGTCCCAGGTTTGGGATATCCTCACCACAGCCTATGTCAATACAAACATAGGGACTATAAGTGCTGTACTGCAATTCATCTGCGCCTCAGACCTCTCCCAACCACCCACTATCTGCATGCACCAGTTAAGGCCATGGACAAGCAGAAGCAGTCAGCCACCCCCAAAAACACACACTATCCAAATAGCTGGTTGCTGTCTTCAGGAGAAAGGTGACGGTCCAGACAGAACCTTCTGAGGGAATGCCAGCCAGACACACTGTAATATTTTAAATCAGTAGGATTCCCGATACAGTACAGACAATGTAATGGACATACTCTTCTCCTAGTTATAGTCCCAAAAATCTATTGTGGAAAAATGCTGAAACATTTAAAATAAACTAATAAAAGCTGTACTTCTATTTAACAACTAAAATGTTTGAGAGATGATACCAGCAAAGCAGCTGGTTTTGCTCTACAGCAACAACAGAAGGTCAGATAAATCCTGCCAACTTTCCAAGTTTATGCAAGCTTCAGTGGTATAAAAGCCAATAAGCCTTTTGGAATACAACCTGTATCATACATTGATTACACCTGCAGAGTTATGAGGGGAACTGCAAGGCTGTGAGGGTAATTAAGCTTATATAGAAAGGAAAGGGGGGAGAGGGGTAATCAGTAACAGTATAGGGCACATTTCTAGTCACATAATGTTAGCATTTCTGGTTTTATATATAATGATTTAACATGAAAAGAAGAAAAAAGTTTTATTGTAAAATCTGCTTCTTGTCCAATTTAAACAATTTTTTGGAGACAGGATTGCTGGATTTCAGTACTGGCCATACCTTCAAGTACCACCCTCAGCAGTGGTCTGTATAAGACACATATTACTTTAACATATCTCATGTACCTATGGCAGCATGCTCACTCAGATTTGAAATCCTCAGACTACTCATCAGCATGTGATTAGGAAGAAGTAAATAAATATGCATACACATGTGCCCTTGTGTTTAGCTATTAACAGCCTGATCCCATTAGCATCTAACCACTTCAGCTGGATTCTGTAAGGCTGAGCACCTGCAAGTTAATCATTGTTTACATCTCAGTCACTGACAGCATTTCACTTCATGTTCAACCCTGCTTGACACTAGATGGGAAAACAGGTTTTGGGGTTTTTGCTTTACATCCTTTATGTTGCAGGTGGAGATGGAGGCCAGCACAATTACATGCTGTATAACTATTTGTTTCAGAGTAGTTACTTTGCAGTTACTACAAAGCACGAAGTGTTTGTTAATCACACAACACTGGAGCGTATTTACCGAGTCCTTTAGTTTCCAGTTATTTACCAACTACTCTACAGTAGTTCTACATGTTCTTAGAGACTTGTGCAAGACCATTTGTTTACTCCAGATTTCATATGACTCGGACAACTGAAATCTGCTACATGCCCTCACAAGTTGAGAGGCACAATTTGGTTTAAAAAACAAAGGGACTTTTATAGGACCTAGAAAACTTTAAACATGTGGAGATAACCTTTTTCCCAGCCAGTCAAGTACAGATGCAAACATGAAAATTTCAACACTTCTCTTTGCCCAGCAAGTTCAAGTATTTTCATCTGTTTCCATCTTTTATTCTAATGGAGTGCTGCTCTGCTCAGGCTTTTCCCAAGTCACATATTAGAATTTATCTATAAAGTACTAGATTTACCTATTTACCTGTAAGTACTACTATTTACCTTTAAAGCCTACATAACTTTGCAATACTTACAGCCCCAAGATTTAATTACCAAATATATAGGATTGCCTGATTTAATTAAACATTAAGAGACCAAGTTAAACAAAATAAATCAATAGTATGAGAAGGGGGTTGGAACTACATGATCTTAGAGGTCCTTTCCAACCCAAACCATTCTATGATTCTATGATTTACAGCAGCCCAAGTCTTCTAGTCTTCCACTAAGCTTATTTGTCAGTTTCCCTTCATATTACACAGGAGCAAAACAGCAACTCTTAACAAATGCAACCCTTTCAAAATGCACATCACACTTAACTCAAGGTGTCTGGAATGTAATATGCACAAAGTACTCCAAAATGATTCTAAATGCATTTATAGCAGTGAACAGATGCTTTCACAATAATATACTAAGAAAAATTAGTATTTCATCAAAAGAGACTATTCAAAAACCTAAAATACTGCAAACATACAAATAAACCTCTAGCATAAACAGAATTAAGAGGTCAGTTTCATTTTCTTTGGCATCTAAAGCAAAAGACTTAGCATAGAGAAAACTAGCTCCCGAGTAAGTATTAAGACATTACATACAAACTCCCAAGCAGAATCAAGTACCACTCACTTCAATTCATGAGCAGCAAAGCAAACAGATTTTTGTTTAAGGGCATGTGGTCTCACTGGCCACTTGCTGGAAGCTCCACATAATACACCTCCAAATCATGCGCATGTAAGACTCCCACAGCTTGGAATCACGCCAGAACAACTGTCTACACAAAAGCAGTCCTGAGAAGAAGTGCACTATTCAGAACAGAGCAGAGGTCTGAGAAAATGTGCAGGAGCAATGCTGAATGTTACAGTGTCTTCATAGGTCACGAGGCCTTGTCACACTGCTGACTGATATGCACAATTCTGATGACAAATTTAAACAGGACTGCTGTTCAGAACAATACGGTATTTTATTTACTAAAACTGTGCAATAAATATTTACTGAGAGCAGGCTGCAAATCTACATAAAAAAGAAAAATTACATAGAAGGACTAAATCCGCTAAATGACAAACCAAAGATGTTCCTGGCATTCTCTTCATGTACGCTGGGGCAGCTCCATCTCACACGCTCCCCTGCTTACACTCTGCAAAACTTACTGTTCTGCAGTAAATGTTTTAACTCTGTTTCTTTCCAAATTCCATGGCTTCTCCTATTCTGAACTCAAACTCTGTAGATACAGCATCTGCCTCATGACTTGCTGCACTTGGCAGCAGACCTCTGTACATGCTGCAGAGCTGGGTATGCAACCAAACTAATCCTGTAACAAGTGTCTGACAAGGAAGGAATTTTCTCTGCCCTTCCACTATGAAAATGTAGCATGTGAGGTACTAAAGGATAACATTCAACTATAAATTATGACAGAATCACAGAATAGTTTGTGTTGAAAGGGACCTTAAGGATCATTCAGTTCCAATCCCCCCTCAATGAGCGGGAACACCTTCCACCAGACCAGATTGCTCAAAGCCCAGTCAAACCTGGCCTTGAATATTAATAAATTATATTAATGTATGTATGCACACACAGAAACTATACAAATGAACGTTCACATATGCACAACACTTAAGAATTACACAGAAAAACTAAGATCCTGACTACCAAAGCTGGATTTCCTGCATTAATGTAAGCAGTCCCTCAGAAAACCATAAATTCTGGTCACCGCCCATCCCACCACTAAGATGACCGGTACAACACCAGCCCTGTAGCCACCTTACAGCTCTACAGCTACCTTACCTACAGGGGCCCTCACCAGCATTAACTGTTTAAGCCCCGTCGCTGACCCATGCCGTGCTATTACTGCCGTGTCCCCTCACAGCCGGTTCGGGTGTGCCATGACTACCTCCACAAGAGCCGGGAATTACGCTCGCTGTTTGTTTTTCCCACTTTCTCTCGCCCACAGACCTCCCTCCTCCTCCCGCCGAGGTGGAGGCTGCGCTGAGGGAAGCAACGGCTGAGAACTAGGGGTGGTTTGCTAAGGAGGCAACCGGCACCTGGAACTTCGGCCTTTCCTCCGCGGGCTTTTACATCTGAACCGACACCGTGCAAAACCCTCGGCGAGCGCAAAAAGTTCTTTAAAGAGTAAATCAACACAAACTGCAGCTGCTGAGCGCCGAGGGGAGCGGGTCAGCGCCCGCCGCCTCACGCCCCTCACTGGGCTGCGGCGCCCAGGGGTCCCTGAGGAGGCGGCTCGCGTCCGCCTCGCTCCAGGCCGACCCCGGCACAACCCCGACGGTGAGGAACCGGGCACCGCCAGAGAGGGGCGAGGAGGGCGGCGATGCCGTGAGGAGACAGCAGGAGAGTGCTCCGACCCCCCCCCGCTCACACACACGTACCCAGGGCTGCCGGGAGACCTTCCTCTAACAGAAGCAGCAGTCGCGCTGCGAGTCCCGTAAGGGGCAGCGGGACTCCCGGAGGCACAACGCAACCACTGTGACCAGCCCCACCATTGCCGCCTCCAGCTGCCCCGGGGGAGCCGGGCTCCTCCAGCTCTGACCAGCAGCCCCCTGCCCCAAAGAGAGCCCCGGCACAGGAGACAGCACCTTACCGTGCACTCGCCTGCTCCTCTTCGGCTCCCGGCATGCGGCTCCGGCAGCTGCCGCCCCGGCGAGCACCCGGGGGCATCCGCCAACAGGGACGAGAAAAGGCGGCGGGAGCCGTTAGCGGCCGCGGCGCAGGGGTCTCCAGAGCCAGCCCGGCTGCTGTCAGGGCAGGCGGAGGGCGGAGACGTGGGGGCCCCGCCCGCGCTCCGCCCTTCCCGCTCTACTGTCCCAACGCTTTTATGCTTCTCGCCTCTTCCTCGCTCCCTTCCGCTCCTGTGGGTCCTTTCCTAGCTCCGCACCTCAGCCAGCTGACACCCACCGGCGGCCGCCTTTTCCCAGGGCTCCGGGCTTCACCTCCCCGGGACACCGGAGGTGAGCAAGAACACCGGCACGCTGCCCCGTGCCCTATGGCGCGGCCGCGAGCTTTGCACCTCTTGTGCCGCTCTGGAAGCTCAGTTCCCACCGCAACGTTAAGAGTGCAAACGGCGAAGGCGGGGAGCCCGACCAGAAGAAGGTACCTGTTCTACGCTGAGAACCTCAGAGTCAGCAAGAAACCAGAAGCCGGTCCCATTCGGTCAACAAGCTGGGGAAAGCAGTGACAAGATGCTAATAGGCACGGCTGTTCTAGAGGAAAGAAGTACGGAAACACACTAGGGAGCCTTATTGATCAAAAGAAAATATACATCGGCTGTGAGGATGAAAACAAGTAGATTATGAGCTCTTTAGGTGAGGGACTATCTTCTGGTGTGCGTTTGTACTGTGCTCAGTAAAGATAATCTTATTTTCTATGACCACAGCCTATAGGCACTAGTTCAGTGTAATAATAAATACTAACAATCGCATCACTTAACACAAGCAAATTCAAATGTAGATGGGAAGGCTTTGGCAGTAGCAGTATTGTCAACATAAAACAGCCAATAGAAAACAAAGGTGGAAAGTAGCCTGCCACCTTCTGTAACCCAGACACCAGAAATACTTTGAAAAAGAATAACGAATTGTGTTTCGCAGCTATGGTTTGGGTTTCCATTTCAAACCTAAGATCCTGCAGCAAGATTTAATCTTTCTGTTGTTTCAAATTGCTGAGGCTAGAAATGCTATATAGACATGGGAACATCAGACCTTCTTCCTCTTTAAGTAAATGTCTTAAATTTTCTAGTCTGGGATACTAAAGTAATCTCTGAACTCCACTTTACACAGTATGAAAACACTCTGGAATTAAATTCACGTATAAATGTTTCTTTAAAGAACCTGGTTCTTAAGGTGAAATAATTCTTTTTAAACTAGGGACAATTCAACTAGAAAATACCTATCAAGATGTCACAATTTTACAACTATTTCTTTACCGCTCCTAAAGCAGCAATTCACATAGATTAGACAGGTATGTGGGGAGCTGGCACTTTTCTAGCCCTCTGGCAAAGTTATACACAGGAATTTATGTTTTAATCAACACTATGTTACAGGCAAAACCTGGGCTCCCAGGAGTATCAATATAATTAGCAGAATGGGGGAATCTTTGAGGTTGCTCAGGTCTGATAATTTCTAATGGATTTCTAAAACATAGAGGCTTCATCATAGCTGCTGCCCGGAAAACTGGGAAACAGACATCCCCTTCCCACATTGGTTGTACCACTGAAGTGATGCCTATTACAAAAGCATAGCCGCAATAGACAGCAAGTGCTGCCATTTTTTTATCCAGGGCTTACTGTGCCTGTAAAGGCAACTAACACTTCTAGTCCCCTGTTTTAAAGCTTTGGTTGGCATTCAGTATCAGGAAATGGAAGAGATGCTCTGTTTAGAGACCTTTAACTTTTAGTCTATTTTATGCATCCTCAAAATTTCCACTGGCTTACTTGCACAGGGGATAAAAAATTGATGTAAATTCTCTAATTCGGCAACATACTGGAATCTGCTGAACCACATCAACTAAAACTGTTGTCCGGGGAGATTTCACACTTTACTAAAAAGTAAATTACAATCTAACTTGTAATTCCTGATTTTTAAGATGATAAACTATACAACACAACTTGCAAATACTGTTTGTTCAGCACTTTTAAATCTTAATAAGCACGACAGTTTCTTTACTATGCAAAATACAGAATGCAAGTGTTAAATATATTACTCCTTCAGTACAAAAGGTTTTCTTAAAATACAGTGATATATGAGTTATACTTAAAAAAGTTTTAACAAGCCAATTTAAGGGTAAGAGCAAGAATATTCAAATGCCTGTACCTGCACTTGTCAGGTCGAAGGTAGCCTAAGCAAATAGAAATAAGAAATAAAGAAATAAGAACATGTCCCGTTTTCCTGATTCACTGTAATGATTATTCTTGCTCCACCCTCAGTGTTGACCAACAACTATTCTGCAAAGAGACGGTGGTTTCCTTCCTAGCACCAAAATCACACTTGGGCATGTTTGCAAAAGCTACAATAAAGAGCAGTTTCCTTTCTGTTGATGACTAATGACTTTTATGGGTCCATCCCCTACATTAGGCGTTGCTACAGACAAGTAGGTCTAATTCTGTTGTCGCTTTTAATTTTGAAATAAGTGTGATGTAACTGACAGCAATGAAATCACTCCTGATTTTCATCAAAATTATAAAGGAGTAATTCTTGCACACCAGGTTCACGTCAAGCAATGTAAGCAGCACCTAGGAGTGCTATGAGACTGCAGAGTCTGTCAAAAAGGTACCTCACACTTCAGATGCTGTAGAAGACATAAAACACATCACTTAATGTCAGCCCCTAATCTAACCTACCTCTTACCTCCCCTGTAGTTCTTGCTGTGCTGCCCTGTTTCCTACCATGCTCCACCAAAAGCTGACTTGCTTCATTGTTGCCACAGACCTCTGGAGTGTAGAACAGCGCCCTGTGGATCATTCCATCACATCAGTTATTGCAATGGTAAAGGCTCCAGTAGTAAGATCTCTAACCAAACACACCAACTGGTCACAGATTCTTTAAAGAAGCACCAATATGGCTCAAGATTAGGACACAAACCCCTGCTTTGTCTTCAGCTGACACCAGCCTCATTTCTGAAGAGGATCCATTTCTTCTTATCTAATTCCTATCCGTTTCTCATGTAAAATGAGGATAATAACACTTGCTTATGTCCTTTATATCCTCAGCTGTGCACTGAGGAAAAACCCCTGACTTACGACACACCAAACAATGCCTCTGATGTATGTCCCACTCACATTGTTAGTATCTGATTTCGTAACCAGTCCCACTGAAATGAGTTGAATCATCGAGATAGAAAGCATAAGTAAAAAGGGTGTGGCCACAGCATTCATAAAAGGTTTAGAAAATATAAGTGAAAGACTTTCATACCGTGATTATTGCTCCACAGTTTGTACTGTAGATTTCTTCCACCAGGCAGTAGCTATCTGCCCTGAAAATATTCTTGCCACTCATTTCCTCAATGTAGAATCCTTCTGGGAACTTTGAACGACAGTTTAGTTTGGTAACTATGTAAAAAATAAGCAAGTTTATTCTCCAAGTGTTTCATTTTCCCAGTGGCTGCGCTAGGCATCCAGTCTTCAGCCAAGTTTAATCTTTTTTAATTGGGTCGGAAATAACATTTTCTCAACCATGAAAGAGGTGACTTCTATTTTTAGGTTTGATCTGTATATTCAGTGTACTATCAAAGGTAACAAAAGAACTTTTGGTCTGCAGTTGTTGGCATTAGTCAGTATTACAATGAAAGGCAGCGTAGCCTCCAAAGGTTGCTGTACTCTGGTATGGGAAAAATGGTATCAGTCTCCCAGGCTCTTTGTATAATCTTAGGTCCAGGTCTATTAGTAAGAAATGTTATATTCCCTAGGAAAGTCCAGTATTATTATCAGTAGCCACATATTTCTGATGCAGTAAAATCTCATAATAAACATGGTTGGCTATTAAAGAAACTCAGAGCAAATTATGTGAGCACTTCGATGTTGATTTACAGTCACAGGATTAATACAGAATTTGCACAGAGAGCACGTATATGTTCTGTACGTGTTGCAGCATTTACAAGTAGGTAAAACCACAGGTGTATACTTCCCCTCTGGACAAAGCTACCAATTCAGAAGACTATTGTAAGTTTACCTGACATGTACCATCATCAAGACTGCCTCTCTTCAAGTACATCTTTTTGCACACCAGTACCAACTGAATAGTTAGAATTCCAACTAAATCAGCAGCCCAACAGGACAGCATTCCATACACTTGCTCATGTTAGTTCAATCTTCCATCTATTGTCAAGGTCTCTGAACCTACCAGCAGAGTCTGGAAAAAAGGTAGTTTGATTTTTGTGGTAAATCAGCCTTGAATGTTACAGCTCCCATCCCTTAAAAAGGAAGTATTTTTATTAAGAAAATTCTCCAGATGTTAATTTATTCTTTCACTGATATTTACTATTGTAACTATTATGTCTATTAACGATTATATTAAACAATTATAGCTAACTACACATGCTCCCCCCCACCCAGCATCTCTCATATTCTCGTATCAATGTTTTCAAACCTCCAGCCTTCCCAAAGTATCTGCATCAGAGTAAAATACCAAAATTATTAAGAACTGAGCTTTTAGCACTGAGGTAAATATTGGCAAGCACTTCAATTTCTGGTCATTTAGGTGACATCTGACACTAAGGAAAGCACATTTCCTTTTCCTTTGCTTTTTGTGAACAGGACAAAATGACCAATCTCTACTTTTTCCATGGACTGCTATAAATATGAAATCATTGTCAACAATGCAGCTGCCCATAAAAATGAACATAATGGCTAACTCAGACTTTATTAAATCAGTTTTAAGAGAATAAAGAATTGTATCCCATTACAAAACATAAATTGACCATTGTTCTGGTTTGTGGGAGTCTGAGAAACAGCAACAGATGATAGCAAGTAAAATAAAATAATTTATAGCAGATAGAGAAAAATTCCTTCAGCTGATCTATAGCACAGCCTTTAACTTCTGACCTTTTAGAAATAATTTGTGTCTGACCAGCTGCAGTTTGAATGCACATACTGTGTGCAGCGCACGTCTTTCATTGTACCTGAAAAGGGGGGTGGGGGGTGGTTTGGTTATGTTTCTGGTCGTCTGGTTGGGTTGTTTTTTGAGGAGAGGTTTTCAGTATCAGGTCCCCCCAATTTAAACACAAGAAAAATGAGAGCTTTCTTCCTTACGTTTTTTGAGATGTATTACCCATATGCCCATCCTCATACCAAAGCGTATCTTTCCACATTCTCAAAGTGCAAGAATTTTGATCAAGAGTTCCCAAACATGAGGAAAGCATCCTGAGGGTTCTTATGTTTTAAATGGAAAGTATAAAAACTACAGTAACTCCTTTCCATTCTGTTTCAGCCACAATGTGCCTCATGTACAGGGCTCCAAGGCAGAGGCTATAGAAATTAGGACTGTAGAATATACATATGATAACACTTCCCAAAGATGTCCTGTTCAGATACGGAGAAGTAACTGATCAAGTTCTCTTTTGAATTACTAATTAAACTATTCAGTGCTTAATGACCCTTTACAATGTCTCTGATTTATCTGGTGATAGAAGCAGAATTAGGAATTGTGGGACAGAGGCCCAAAGAAAACAGGTATAAATATTATGAACAGCATCCTGTAAATTCAACATAGCTATGTGTACGCAAACTATCTGGTATTAAGTAAGCAATTCAAGTCTTCAATAATAAGAACTTTACAGACTCATTGCAGATCTTTCTATAGCAGTCTAAGTTTGATTTTGCCAGACCAAAAGTCCATTATAAAAACCTTGATTTACCTGGCCAACATAAGGAATATGAGTGGCTTAGCCCTGAAATCAGTTTGCAGGGTTCATTGACTGGAACAGTGAAATCCACTTGGATGTAAACAAAAAAATCATATCAATTTTAGGTAATTATCACATTTTTGACAAAATTAATCCAAGCCAGGTTATTGTAACTTTGCAGTCGGTGTGGATAGGCTTCACTTGCAGAACCATGCAGTGCTAGGAGACCTTCAAGGAGGATATAGGAAAAATAATTACATAAAATCATAACATAGTTTTAATAGAATTAAAAAAATACTAAGAAAAACATAAAAATCAGTCTTTCAATACCATAGTCTTAGAAAACCAATATTTCTTACAGCTGCTTGACTACATTAAACACCCATCAAAATACCTGTTGCACTTCCAGATGCACAGTGTGAACAGAGGTTAGAGAACAGTGGCTATGTGTGTGGTGTGTGTAACTGCATTGAAGTGTTTTGAAGAAAACAACTGCACTCTTTAAGCCAAGCCTTTCACATCACTACGAAAAGCCCAGGGAGAGAAATGAAAAAAATGTTTTATTTTGATATTTAACTTCTAAATTACAGTAACATAAAACATTTATTTCTGCAAATGTCAACTGCATTCTGTTTTCAACAGCTCATGTGTTCATGTAGAGGTACAAATTATGGCAACAACTATACTTATCATTCAAAATGCTGAACACACTACCATATCTTGAACCTTCAGCTTTCCCATGCTTTTTCCACCCTCCCAGAAAATACACTTTAAAACATCCAAACAACGTCCACATACTTGAGTCTAGTAGAGATTGAAGGGATCCTTTGCTATTGACATTTTTAGAGTTTACTAACGCTTGACAATAGTAGCAAGCTACCCTCTGTGTGTTAACATATTTGGTTTAAAATTAATTTTTAACATGGATTTTTGCTGTTTTTCTCTTACAAATTCAGTACCACGTCCTTCCAGCACCAAAATATACACCATATTTTTCTAGTTTTTTAAAGCCTTGTGGCTTTTTAAGAAAAAACTACACTAAATCAGATTATTTTCTCACTTTTGTATATTTTATGTGGGCAGTCCTACCCTAAATTTTCAACTAATTACATTGTCTTTCTCCTGAGAACATATAATACGCTGTTTCCACCTCATGCTAAGAAGGAATAAAGGAATTATTCTTCTTCCTTCCCCCTCTTTTCCCCCCAGTGGATTTTATTGGCATACACATAGACCTTTTATAATAAAAAACAAACAAAAAAAAGATTTGCAGGATTGTACAGCATATTTTGAAGGAATAAAACATTTATGACAAGTGATTCTTTGTGCAACTGCCTTTGTTTTTGAAACTGAACTTTCTTACATTCAAAATGAAAACTTAATTCCACCTAGTAATACCAGTTCTGCCACTGAATTTAATGGAAACACAAAATCTGCCCAATCTTTAGTCTAGCATAAAGTAACAGTATGCGAGGTGTGACCTGCCATGGAGGAGAACAGCATCACCTTCACCTGCTAACTGCTAAGGAATTGCCTCCTCCTAGTGTTTTGCAGCTTTGGTTGCATTTCTCTGCGTGGCAGCTCTTCAGCACACCAATTTTGTAACCCTTCTGCCTGTGCCTTACCACTCTAAGCTCTTTCTCTAGTAAATCAGCAAGAAATGCACTGAATCAACATCCTTCATAGCTGGATTTAGTAGAGAATCATTTGCTCAGATACTGTGAGTTAGATCTTTTCCACTTAGTGTTCTTTCAAATTCAGGAAACAGGAAAAGTAAGACCATCATGTTCATGGACAAGGCTCTCCAAACCTGACGCATACATCCAGTTGACAACAGAATTACATGATACAACTGCAAAGCATGCCACAGTTCTACCATCAATGGCCATGGTCAAATAATTGTTACAGCACTTTCTTACTCCATCTGTGACAATTTCAAGAGTCTTTTGTTTGGAATTTCAAATGATTAAAGTGGCACAAAAACCCCAAAACAAAACAGAAGCATTACAGCTACTCAGCCAAAACCATCCCTGGCTTAATAGTTCTACCTCATTCTATTAAAATGGATAATACAGTGTAAGTTAGCAATGTCCAATTCTCATCTATCAAAACTGAGAGAATATTTGAGGTGTTTGAGTTCTCCCTTGATGTATTCCCAAAGTAACCTCCTATTAGTGGAATGTGAAGACAGGTTAAATGAGACAGAATCTGTCCCCACAAGCACAATTAGCAAAGGCACATTTATACGGTGTTCTTTACTATTTGCTGTTATCATGCTTACTATAATAGTGCCCAGACTTGTAGTTACATAGATGGGTTCTACTTACTAGAAGTTGCTCTTTGGAAACAGCAAGGATATTTTGGGTGATGGGGTACTGACCCAGTCACTGCAGAAGACAGGACATGTGTGCTTTTTCAGATGAAAATGTCCAGTGCAGTTTTAGCATTTTTTTTTCTTAATATAACACTAGTAATATACTGTCTTCAGCACTAAGTAATGATAAGTAGTGTGAACTCCAAAATAACTCATTGGCTTCTGTTTACTGGTTGGCTCAAACCAAAGCAAAGCATTTATGCCTGTTAACTGCTTAACTTGTTTTACCCCAGGTGATTTGTCCTTGAAGGGTAATTTGAAATCCCCCATAAAGCATATTCAGCTCATGGCTAAACAAATCCAGAATGATGTTTTAAATACAAAATCTGGTCTTCCTTCCCCCATCTCTTTAAAATATTCTTTATATCAGCCCTTCCAGGAAGAAAACAGGAAGTTTTGCTTCCATGGTAACACCCAGCATATGCAAGATCTATATATTTGCCTATTATAAAAATGATACTTCAGGCTCAGTACAGTACTACTTGTGAGTCATCATAGCCAGATTGTGGAGAAGAGACAGCAGAATCATATATAGAGGGAGATGTGCTTATCCAAAATTAAATACTGAGACATGTTAACATTTGGGAAAGAGCAGACCGTAAGGAAAGGAGCTCAAACATTTTTAAAGGAAAATGATTTCTTCTAATGGAGAATTTCTCGATCTCACCTTTGGCATTTTATCTTCCTTCTGAAAAAGATTCTGCTCTCATTCACTACAACACTCCTGCCATCAAGTATATCAGCACTTAAAACTAGAGGCTGGACTACAAAATTTACTACAACTTAATGTTCCAAGCTATTTTATGTGCAGTTGCAAGATTATTTCTAGCAACAAAAAAGAAGTCAGTTTTGTATATGGCATCTGTAAACACTGTAAGTATTATGACATTTAAATTAGTAGTAGGAATAATTTTTAAATGTGTTCTCATCTATTTTTCCATGGTGCATTTTTCAAATCATGAAAGACTTTTAGATAAAGACAAACAGATTCAAGTTTACTGGCCATAAAAAGATCTTGTAGGAATAACGGATCGTCTTCAGGGAGTATTTGTTCCTTCAAGTAGATTTAGTGCTGAGACAGTGTGGTAGTTAAAGCACAAACAGAGGCTGTTGCTAAAGTGGCAATGCATAATAATGCTGTAGTGTATTATAAGGGAGCAATTGCCTGCAGTTCATCAGTGTGGATGTGGCAATGAAGTTCTGCTTTACATATTTCAGGCACTAAGAATTTTGTAGCAGTGATTACAGGAGGTTCTTCTTCCCCTATAAAAGGAAAAAGAGTGAGGTTAATTCACTGAAATGTTTTGTATTTGGTCAACATTTTAGAAATAATGAAAAGAAAACTTATGAAACCTCTCTGGATCATAATGCCATATATTCATGAGGCTCAGCTACCACATTCTGTAACTCCTTATTGAAAGAATTAATACAAATATTCTCCCCAGGCAGGGCTGCTTAGAGAAGACATCATTAGTGAATGGACCTAGTAAAGGTTTGGTTGTTGGTACTTCCTCAAAATTAAGTTGGTTAGAACTTCAGTTGATGATGCCCAATATGATGATCAATTTGAGAATCGTTGCAGCTCAGTAGCCTGTGCATGAACTGCACTGAAAGACAGAAACTCCTACAGTTAATGTGATTTAGGATTTTAATTCAAAAATAAAACTGTCCTTTAAATGAGAATGGAAAGATCTACCTTGACATGCTAAATGGCAGAGCTATTCACTTCTGCTCTGACCAAGTAATGGATAAACAATAGCTAGCCAGGTACTGTGAATTCAAAGTAATCATCTGGACATGTCCAACTCTTACAACAAGAACAAAAGCTAAAAAAATCTAGCTACTCGTCTCATTATTATGCATATATTAGGGCTTTATATTGTGTATGTCCAGGACAGCAGAAATATTTAATGGGCTGCACTCCAAGAGACAGTTGCTGCTCAGTTCTAAATACAATCTCCTTCTTAACCTTGTACCTAATTAGGACTGTGGTTTGGGTGAGAGTTGGTCAGGATGGTGCTTTTGGACAGGGGGGAGAACAGGAAAACGGCAGAAGTTATTGTGGTTCCTTAAGATGTTGGAACATCAGTTTTAAGATCCCCCACCACCAGCCAGTGCTGTGATGTGTAACCTCTATAGCTGAAACGTGTTAACAAGTAGGTATGTGACTTGAGAACTAATTACTGGAAAGACTGCCTCTTTCTTCCAGTGCCTCCCTAGCAGCTGGGATACCCAGCTGAAAGCTCTGTGGTTGAATCAGAAGGGGGTACTGGTAAAGCATTCTTACAGAGAGGCCGTAAATTTTAAACTAGCATCCCACTTTCCTCTGACACTAGAACCTTTACAGATGTCAGCTGTAACTCTTCCCACAGATGTGAGAACAGGCTATGTTAGAAGATGGCAGGAAATTAAAGAATATAGTATTAATTTTGAAACAATAACAAGAGTGTGGCTTGTGTAATTAAATCAGAAAATCTGTGTATTTTCCACTTGAAAAAGTACAGATTTTTCAGGTTTTAGCCGTTTTGTCCTATAGACTATCTAGCCTATAGATATAGATGCTGTATCTGTAAATCGTGATCTGTATTCTCTCCCCCAAGATAATTCTGGTCTCAAACAGTACTTATGAATTATCTAAATAAGAATCATAATTATAAAATCCATTAAGCCAAGAGAAAGTCTAGCAAATTAGCTCACTGTCAGCATTCATTCAGGAAAGCAGAACAGCACAGCACCATCAAAATGCAATATTCACCTACTGCAGCTGCTTAAGGAAAATCTTAGTGAACAGCAGTTTTAACCTATTAATACAACTGTTGCAACATTCCACACCGATGTAGTTGTGATGCCAGTTCAATGTACTGTAACTAGGAATTTCAGATCAGCTCTTTATACAGCCTGAGGCTATACTGACACCTTCTAACTGTAGGTGTCTAAGCCGAGTGCCTTCCAAGCATTTGGAGAGTGTCTTCCAAGCATTTAAATTCCTCCACTGAGACCCGTTTGTTCATTCCCTCTAGGCCCACATCCAACAAGAAGCCTAATGTCATTCTGAAACTTGAGTTAACCACAGCACAGACTGTAGTCCTACAGGTTCTAGCGTGTGCTGGAGGAAAACATGATGCCAACTTTAGATTTACAGCAATTCTGTAAGAATGCTTTGTTATATTACCCTCCTGATTAAATCACAGAGCTGTCAGCTGAGTATCACAGCTGATGAGGAGTCCCTGGAGGAAAGAAGCCATCTCTCCAATAATAAGTCAGTTAATGAGAAGTAATTTTATTAATAGAATTTTTGAGAAATCTTACTTGGGTAAGAATCCCTCCCTCCCCTGAAGTAAGTTAAGGAAAGATTCATTTTAGTAAAGTCACTGACACCTACCTTGTTTACCATCTTCAAACAATATTTATCTTTCTCTGCAGCCTTTTATATAGCTCCTCACATTTTAAGTATTTTGAGGTGATACAAATATGCTCACAATAACTGAATACAACTTTTAAAACACTGCTGTATCTTACCTAAACCTGATGATGAAGAAACACTCCCTGTAATGGAAGATGTTTCAGTTTGGTCGGTCAATAGTCCTTCCATTAAAGGTAGAGATAATTCAGATGAAGGAACGGATGAATCATAGATTCCAGAATCTCGAGGCGTATCTTTAAGATTTGAAGCTTTAACAACATGTAATAATGGCTGAAGAACAGAGTTGCCACCACCTTGAATGTCCTGAGTTTCTATGTCTTCTCCAAGGTTTAAGTGCTGAATTATACAGTGAGTGTCTGAATTCCCAGCTGAAATAACATTTATGTCTGTTTTCAGGTAAAAATCACCATCCTGTTTATTCACTAAGTCATTTAAAACCAAGCCCGAATCAAATTTTTCCATGACAGGCTCTGAGTAATGTAAAGAAGGTGGAGGGAAGGGAATAAATTGTTTCTCAAACCAGTCTGGTTCCTGATCGATGAACTGATGCATATTGCAAATGGCAACATAAAGGGACCTCCCAGATTTGCTCCTGAAATAATTCCTTTTGCTAATGTTAACAGGGAACACCTCTGAATCCTGTACACCAAGATCTCTGGAGTGTAAATGTGAATACAGCTGAGGCAGATTGTCCATGAGTTTGTATTTCGTACTTAGATCCAGAATACCAGGGATGTCTCCTTCACAGGAGTAATCGAAGTAGACTGCGATGAACTTGCAGAGATCATTTGAATTCTGCTTTGCCTGACGAAGCTTCTCTGCAACAGTCCACACAGCAAAGAGAAAGAGTTCTCCTTTTCCGGCATCTTTGGTTATCCCTCTGTGTTTCCAGTTCTTTTTTTCAACAAAGTATTTCATTCCCTTGGAACACACAATGATGATAAACTGGGACTCATTTATTTTTTTAATAAGCCACTCTTTCTGTCTTTCTTTACAAATTTTTAGATCTTCCCACAAATCTACAGCCACCTGGAAAAGAAAAGAACATTCTGGTTGATATTCATTATTAGATATATTTCCTAACATATCTAATATATACCAGTGTTACATATAAATTTATGGAATCAACAAGTAACAGCGCAATGCCAAGTAGCTGTATGTAAACTGGATGGTTCCTTAAAAAATTAAACTACTATAGATTTGGTTTACAGTGGTATTTCCAGGGGAATAAAAAGAACATAGAAAATGTGGCTGGAGCAAGTAAATTAGTATTTACTTATCTGATCAGATTTGGTATTATCAATCCACAATAAGCAATGCATTGTGCCTGTCTCAAGCCATTTAACTGTTGCAAATTTGGGTCCATGCAAGGGGAAGAATAGTCAATTTAGAGCTGCTTGGGAGATACTCTGATAAAAGTACAATGCAGGTACTTATGTCCAGTTTTGCTTCTTTTCTTCAAAATACTGTCTGATCTGCTATCTGTGAGATAGGATTTTTAGTATGGTCAATTTATTATTTTAAACGGCTACGAAACGCTACTGGTTTTGTCCTTTATAAGAAAACATTCCAATGCCACATGAAGAATACTTGTGCAACTGTTCTGTTATGCATTGAGCACCACATAAAATGCATTGTTATGCACTGAGCAACACAGAAAACTCCACAGTTTTAATAATCATGCGTATTATTTCTGTATATAGATGCTATCAATATTTTGATATATAAATCTAAAATGATGCCTGATCCCATGTGTCCCGTAGTACATAGTTACAGTAGCAGCTCCCCTTAACACTATTCCAAAGAGACACTGTGCAGCAGAGCTAAAGTGCACCGCTGAAAAGGGGATTCAAATAAGTTACTTTCAAACACCTTACCTGACCTACTTTAAATATGGGAATAAACTCTGCACATCCCCACCAAACATGTGAGGCATCGGTTGTTACTGTGTGTGGACACTAGAGGACAGACTTGCTGTACAGTTGGAAAAACAGTTCATCTAAACATCGCACTGGCAGGATTAACATGAAGCAAAAGTAGACTAACAATTGTCTTGCCTTTTTATACTTGAAAAGTGGATGACTGGCCACATATTGAGTACATTTCAGAAAGCAGGCTGAGGTCCTAAGCCTAGTCATTAAAGTAACAATTGGAACATCTTTCTCATAGATTGAGCCAAACAAGAAAAAGAGATGCTAATTTTACAGTATTAACAGAAGGGAAGTAAAACAACAAAAAATAATACATAGTGTCAATAATTAATCCTAATTACACAGATTTTGCTTTATGAGTAAGAGTTCTGATAAACTGAACTACTTTAGAGTTACAATATAAAACATATTTCAGAAATACTGAAGTGTACCAGATAGACACCAATACCTTTTTGTGGCTGCTGATTATAAAGGTGCAAGACCTACTGAACAGAAAAAGCAGTTAATACAAATGAGCTAAACACAGCTGAATGCAAGTCCTGGAATCAATGCAGTACACGTTTTCCACTATCACATGGTTTTTTGTTGTTTTGTTTTGGTTTTTTATGTAGGCTATGATCTGTTGCTAAGTAAAGAAAATCTACATAGCCAGTATTTAGAAGAATAACTAAAAGTTACCTTCATGGAAAAGAGAGATTGAAATACCTCCTTTTCAATCATGTATTATTAAGGTAATATTAAGGAAAAACAGTTCACAGAAGAAATGCTGAGTTTACCTCACAGCCACAGAAGTCCTGAAGAAAATAAGCAAAGCATTGGATGACATTAATGTGTTTCTGGCAATCTTTACTGGAATAGCAGATGAACACTTTTGGCCGGGGATGGAGTCTTTCCACATGGAGACCTGCAGCATATGCTGAAGATTCTGAGCTCTCCTCATCTAGATGGGAATATATGTTTTCTACATTGGAAGAGAGAAAGAGTTCATACTATAAAGCTTGGTTTTGTTTTGGTTTTCAGACTTGTGTAGGCTCATTACTAACACATACAGGAAGGAGTTCTCAAAAGATATTTCTTCCCCTTCCAACCTGAAAAGGAAAAGTTGCAAATGCTCTATCGATCCAGTTTACAAGTTGCTACATATGTGGAACAATCTTTGAAAGTGAAATGGGCAGTTATTACTGTACAACTCAGAAAACCTAGGAAAGGTTTACTTTATAAATAGAATAAGGGTGTTTCACCTCTATCCAGCTACATCTCTCGGTTCAAATACTATAAGCCCTAAGGCTGTATCATCATCAAGTTTCCTGTATAACGAAGTCTCTTGTTTTAAGAAACCCACAACACAAAACAGATAATAATATTGAACTCCATATACTTGCATACATACACACGTTTGGACACCAACTTGACATTAATGTGAATTAAGATGTTATTATACTAATTTAAATCAAAATAGCTATTAGTGTTTCTCTCCTCGCATAGATATTTTAATGCAAGAACAAAGAATGCCAGACTAATCCAATCTAGTTCTACAGCTGATTAAGCTGATTTAGAATAAAGCATGAGTATTTCAAAACACAAATATCCACCATGGGATTTAATTTAGAACAACTCATCAGGAATGACTATTCTGGAACAAATCTCTCTGCAGAATAATCCTTGGCATTTATCTGGGTTTTCTGTTGGAACTGTGCAAACTGTGAGCAAAGGGATAACTGCAGAAGACCAGAAGGTAAAAGGATTTAACCCAGATGGCGCAAAGCACTTGCAGTATGCCTCGATGCCAGAATTCAGATGGATAACACAGGTATGTGAAGTTTGGGGAAATAATATCTTTTTCCGTATTCATGAAACCACATTATTCCCTAGATTCTATAAAAAAATGCCAACTGATTTTAACATCTCAATGTAACAAACGTGGTTTGCCAGCTCCTGGACACAGAGGAGAGAGAAGTCAGCAAAGAAGGGTGGAATGTAATTTAGAGACACATCTGCAAGTCTTAGAAAGAGTAAATTTAGGAAGATGGTTTAGGATGAAGTGTAAAAGCAACTTCCAGGAAAGTGGGCAAATGTGCAATAATAGATACTGGTAGTATTCCAAACAGTACTGAGAATTGCACTGGTATCACCTGGCTTTACTTTCCTTCTGGTTTAAAAATAAGTGAGAATTAGACATTTCAAACATATCCATTTACAGATCTGTTTGTATTCTATCAGGTCATGTAGTACCTCACAAATAAAAAGGAACCCAAAACCAAAAACACTTCCCAGCAGCAAATTCATTCTCTCCTTGTTACAGTGAAGTCTTGAATTGTGATACAAATCTTTCTATGGCCACAAATTACCATCAAGCACCGCTACAAGTTTGAACACACAAAAAGCTGCGGGTAGGAAGGAGAGAGAAGTGAAGAGAGAAAAAAAAGAAGTCTTTTCAGATAAAGGTATTTCTGGAATAAACCAACCAGGAAATACTTCTTTTGATTGCAAAGGTACATCTTTAAATGGAATTCCACACTGAATAAACCCTCTTACCTTGCTGTTTCTTGCGGCACATCACTGTGAACAGTGTTGCAAATGCCGAAATGACAACTAAAGGGACTGTGATGGCAATGGCTCTTATTGGTCCAGCCCAGGGAGAATGTACTTCAGAAAATAAAACAGAATTAGCCATATGCACATAAGCTACATTGTAATTATCTAATCGTCTCTTCACACTGGCAATGTAAAACTGCTGCAGTACACTATTATCAGGTAATTCTCAAATATCCAGTAGAATCAAACATCATGTTCTGCTCCATTTTAAATAGGTTTTATGCTGATTGCCCCCACCCCCCCAGCATTAGAGCAACTAACATAAATTACAAGTGCTGCATGCCAACTCATCCCCTCGCCCCATGAGCAGAACTTTACATGAATAAAGATATGGCAAGACATGCAACAGTCATTTGGATCTGACAGTTTTCTGTGCCAGGCTGCTGAGCTAGCCACTCAGAATGAACTGCCTTCCTGCACAGATTACCTTTAGCAATGTGCATTAGGATACACACTGCCTTCGTCTACAGCTGTGTTTTGTGTCTGCAGTTACATTCTAAAATCCCTATTTAGCTTCTCAGTGACACATAGACAAGCTAAGCATTCACCTGTCAGGTTTTCCAGAATGCTTGATTTGATTTCAGGGCTGCAGCACATGAGCAGGTAATGTGTTTAAGCTGCCCTCACAGTTTTATTACATTATTTCCACACTACTGCATGCACCAGCTGTATGCAATTAAGATACAGGCTGTGATTCCTCATACTCATATTTACAAGAAAAGTGACATTCCCACAAAGATTTCCAATGATACACTGATCTAAGCTGTGCTAACTATAAATATACAGAGATGCACGTGTATGTGCAAGCGTGCATGTCTATTCTTTTTTCATCAAGCCAAAAAATCACAGCACAATTGCCTCAATAGTCTTGATTATGGCAAACAAACAGAGAAAGGTCAAATCAAGATTTATTTCCAACATAATTAAAACTGAATCTAAATTAATAAGGTAAGTACTATATACTATGTAAAAACCAAAATTCATACCTGGTTTTAGTGCATAGTGCATTGTTTTCCTTGTTGTGTTAGTGTCATCAACCAGCTTTGAAAATAAAAGTTGAATTTGATTTTGTGGAAATTTGATTTAATTTCTTTTCTGCAATATGTGAACAGCTACAACAGCTTTCATGAGCAAATGTGAAGAAACTCACTGTTCAAAAAAGTTAAAATTAAAGAGCACCGCAAACTAGTAGTTAGTAAAATCATTTGTCTTTGTTAGTACACAGCTTAGTGTTATAATATTAACGTTCAGAGTTCACATACTGTCAGCATCAAGAGAAACACACAGCTTTTTAGTAAAAATTGACCAGACTACAGAATTCCGATTTTATAAAATCAAAGTCCAAGAATTGGAGGCACAGATGAAACTGTCATGCCCTCAGAGAAGCAAAGCTATGGAAAGGTCTAAAAACCCTTACTTGCCCACAGTACTTCAGTAGAAATGCCTGAAGTTCAATTTTACCAGCGTGTGACTTGAAATACTTTAATTTCAGTTAATTTCTCCACTAATGTACTCATTTAGCTGTTGTACAAATTACCATTTATAAGTATTACCTCAATTATATAATCCCCTGGAGACACGTTCTGAAGAATACAACTTGTGGTATCTGTGTTTTGCTCCTACATCAAAGAAAAAGAAGACTTTGAAAGCCATTCACATACTTTTAAAACCTAATTAAAAAATATATTTGCATTGATTTAACAATATGCAGTGTCCTCCTGTATTAAGACACCTTAAACCAGCAAAACCTCTCCATTCAAATGTGAAATGGAGATTCCTATCACTATCCTCTGCCTGCACAATTAAAATATGATTATCAAGAAAATCTTCAAAGTTTGGTGTAACTGATAAAGTCTACATAAGCCCCTGAAGCTCTCCAGCTTTCAGAGACTTAGCATGAGAGGTTCATCAGTGAGAACAAACTTGCCATTGTGTGAAATTCGGTGCAAAGGTAAAACAAAAAAGTAGGAAATAACATGTATAATAAACATAATAAAACTGCAGTTTGAAGTACTAATTAGTTGTAGGGTCTTTAAGGGAGAGCAGTCTTGTCTCATTTGCTTATAATATCCAGCTCCAAAGGAACCCTCACGCCTGGTTTTGACCGATGAGTGCTATCACAATACTGCTGAGTGTTATCACAATACAGTTACTATTTACATGAACAGTACCAAACAGTGCACAAATTTTAAAACTCAGAGTATTCTATATTAAGTTTCCAAAGTTTCTAGGAAACCTTAGAACATCTCACATTGACAGGCCTTGTACTTTAAAGAGTTTCAATACTCAGCAACGTACCTGTTTGCAGGTCTTTTGCTTAAATGGCCCTTCATGCTTCAGTTTGTAGTGAAGAAAGTAATATCTAAACCCAAAGTTGTGAGGTGCGTGATCAAAGGACACTTGCATGTTAAAACCCTGCTGTGTAACATTTAGATTCCTTGGCTTCCAGTCTGTCAGAAGAGATATTCGTGAATTGGAAAAAAGTCTAGTAACTTTTTGAAAGATGAATATAGACAAAGTGTAACATTTTACTTACAAGGTTTGCAGACAAGGTTTTCTGGCTGTAGCAACAATTCACATGCTACAAATACACACACAAATTATTAATTATACATATCAAAGTACTATGCTACTTAAATAGAAAAAGAACAAAGACAAAAGAAGGGAGTTCGTAATTTTGAAGACAATACCCCTGTTTCTTTCTCAGTCTCTATTATGCCTGAAGTAAATAACATTTTGCACACTTTGATGCTTTGTTATGATTTTAAGCCCCTTCTCATCTTTATACAAGAAACAGATGTTCATTAATTTGGAAACAGCACTCCTTAGTGAGACAAAAAGATAGTAACAGGTGCAGTTAAGCAGGAGAGGAAGTTCCTAGAGAAGAAACTAGTCTTAAATACATCTTCTCAGAGTAAATAAGTAGGCTCAGCACGATTGCGAAGACAAATGTTACTGCAGTCTGCATCAACAGACAAACTTGAAAACACTTCAAAAAGTCTTGTACAGCAAAAAAAAACCCTAAGCGGGACAAATATCAACATTTCAGCCCAAAGAGTACTTGCTGTTTCCCAAACTATTTAAGTACTGAGGAGCTTTTTCAAGCTTCTTTTCTCTAACTCCAAGGAGAATTAGTAAGTAATTTTGACAAATTCAGCTTGATTTATTGCCATCTGATTTTATATTTTCTACACGTACTAATCTGTATCTAGCTTTAGATACCCATTTACAAAACTGTGGTCTCAAAACCAAAACCATCCTCAGCTCCTTCACAATATCCAGAGAGGAGGACTTCATGAGTGAAATGGTTCTGAGAACCATGGGAGTAACTTTGCTGTAGGCAAACCTGAGATCATCTCAGGCCTACCTGAGACTTTCCTTCTGGTTGTTGCCTAACACGTTATCGTACACCACAGACTTACCTGTGGCGTCCAAATTCTTTCCACTTAACACCCAGATCTTACTCCAAAGACTACGTCAGTAACTATTTCAACCCAGACACATCTAACATCATCATCTGCTACCAGTCCTTTGTGGGGAAAACTAAAGGTTGGGAGAAAGGGAGATGATACACAATACCACACTGTACGCAATACTTACGTCTAGTTCGGAAGAAAAATGGGTGATAATTACTCTCGTTTTTAATGGAAGGAAAAGGAACAATTTTTACAAAGTAATCTGTTTCAAACTTGAGATTTAGAAAGGGCTGGGATTCCATTCCCTACAAAAAGACAAGATTGCAACATATTTAAGATCAACTATTGTAACTGAAATTACCTTCCAAAAACAAGCCCACAGTTTTGCAAACATCAGCCAAAATTAATGTATTAAAAAATTCTTTATCTAACCCTCCATTACACACTGACATGAGGAATCAGTACTGAGCTGGATGTGGGCTATTACAGGTATGCAACCGTACTCCAGTCACCCAAATAAGTTTTCTGCTTCAAAAAAGCTTCCATAAGGGGACTGTATCTGTCTCAAGAAGGAAAACTATCATTAGCTTAAAAAATAATACTTCTGGGAAGCAACCTGCATCCTAGTAAACAGCACATTGTGTATATATTTAGATTCATATGCAGCATATAAACACTTTCGAGACTACTCATGCAATCAAGCAATAATGAAACTTGTCTTGAAACAAAGCACTTACTGTTCGTTTAAAACTGGGGCTGAGCTGCTTTGGATCCTTTAAAACCATCTGCTGGCATTGTCTTCCCTCTGATTTTAACTCCTCAAGTATTACTCGAAATCCTTTCAGGTATTCAATCCCTGCAAACAGCAGGGCATTTAAATAGGAGACTAATATTTCCTAATGCATGTGTTATTTAATTTGAATATACTTCATTTGTCTTTAAATATAAAACTTACCATTCATACAAAATATGTTTGTGGTTTAATACCTGGTTTTGTATGTCAGTTCTTCCCACATTTTCTATCTTGCCTATTTAGAATTCAACCTTTGGCAAAGGCTGCAATTACTATATACTTGCGTAATGCTTAGAGCAGAGGGGCCCACAACTCAGCTGGGGCTTCCAAATTATCACTGCAATAGAAGTTATCATTACCGCCACCACCCTTGGAGTACTTTATAGAGACTTTACGTTCATATTATTAGCAACAAAATTGAATGTTTTGCTATCAAGTTATATAAATACACCTTTGTAACATCTTCCTATCATTTCTGAGGCCACCAGATTAATGTGATAATGGTTGTTACAACTTCTTTGGTTCTAGTACAGTATGGGATAACAAAAAACTTGACTTAAGTGGAATGGAATTTATTCCAGTGCTTGAATACTTCCAGTTATTTATAACTGATGCCTGAACTACACCCTTTTATTTCAAGTTCCTCTAACACAACAAACTCTCAGCACAGTGCCTTTACCTTTCATTGCAAACTTCTCAAAATGGAATTACTTCATTACGTGACTAAACTGAGTCATGGTGATGTGAATGGCACAGGACAATGTCAGAGCGTCACCTGTGATATAGTTTCATGGCTCAGGTATCAAAGACTCTGCATAGTTCTTCAAGACTAACTCTCACTCCTTCACCTAATTACACTTTTCAGTGGAATTAAGTACTGCAGAATACACAGTTATCAAAGACACAGCCACGGCTTTTGTAAGCTGAATGCTACATAAATAAAAGTGGATTAATCTGAGTTTATGCCATGCTTGTCAAATAAAAACAAAACTAAATCCCAAAAGTCTGATTCTCCATGGACCTCCCCCATTTCACTGGTTTCATGGTTTTGTATTTTTTTTTAATGTTTTACAGTCTTGTAGAAGATAAAGACCATGAGCTCCCAAATGCGTTCTTTGGAACAAAAGCACCACTTGTGCTTACATGAAGACCATGAAAGAGAAAGTGTCCAGTCTCCATGTCACCCGAGATGTTTCAACAGCAGTTCTGTCCTCACGCTTCCAAAGGATTAACCTCTGATCATTACAAGAAAGAACACCAAGCCTTGTTTCCCATAGAGATTTGATCCCTCCAGTCTACAGCTGAAGATTACCAAATGCTTTTAACTGCACAGTTTCACAGAATTAAGTGTAATTTTCATATATTCTTTTAAGCCCCAGAAATGAATCATTATTTTTTTACTTTAAAATTATGGAATAATGATTAAATAGTGGGAGACAACAAAAAAAAATGAAGCAAAACAATGTTGAGCACACCCCCCGAGTATATTTACCAAATCATGTGCTACTGTGCTAACATACAATGAACATTTTAATATACACACAAAAAACCACCCAAATTTTAAAAAGGGTAAGATTAAAAAGTATTTAAAAATATAATTTTTATTTAATGATATGAAAACCTTGTTCCCACATAAAATATTAATCATATTTTTGAGTGAGAACTATGGGATCGAATACGCTTTGTTAGTTTTTAACATCTTGGTTTCACACTGTGATATGGCAATTCAAAGGTCTGGTTCCAAGTTTCATTACTTGGTTTTCATGGCTGTAATAGCTGAAAAAATAACCCTACAAAGATATATTGACCCAAATGGAGGAAATGTCTCACCACGTGCATTTACTAAATGATGATACCAATTCTTCACTCCCATCCTCTAATTATGCAAAGGTTTCTCCTGAGATTTGACCTATACATATCTACCTTCCCTGATGGCAGAGAAGCAGATATTGTTTCCAGCAACAAAATCACGTCACAAAGAAAACGTTTCCAAACATGCTTTTTCAAAAAGCTCTTTCCATAGCATGAGTTTCTTTAAAAAGCAGTTATTTTCTCTCTCACACCTTTACCCTGAAGAGACACATTAAGTTGGTTTGGGTGGTTTTCTTTCCCTTTTTTTGTGTTTCAATCTGCTAGGTAGCACACTACTGACAGCCACTTGCCATCACAGAAAAGGTCAGCAAATTTGGAGCCCTTCCCTTTTTGTGAAAGAAGAATGCTTAACTCAGAGAGGAGAGTCTGACAACCCCTAAGCACTTTGCCACAAGATAACCAGTGAAGGCACAAACCATTTTCACAGTCACTCCTCACCTCATTACAAAGTACTGTGAAGATTCTACTATTTCAGTGTCTTGTTTGCATAAAAATAACAAAACTGATAGCACTTTGTGCACTTCTGGCTCCAACTTCATTGCTGTGAGTTTCCCTGTGAATGATGCAATGACCGATTTCCATGTGTGGCTCTGTCTCTGTAACCTTACACAAGAACCCTTTTTTCCATTACAATATTTCCCTGTATTATTCCAGCCAGTGTTACTGTGGCAGGAAGAACAAGTGTTTCCACAGCAGTATGTGGCTTTTTGTCTTTCACTATTGATTAAGAAAAGAGGTTTCTCAAGATTTATCATGAAGTTTGGGGAAATGCTGTACTTTACTGGAGTACTGAATGGCTTCAAACATCGCTGAAAAGAATTCAAGAGGTTTGTCTTCATGTTTGGGATGTTTAGTTTTCAAATGTCTTGCTAATCATGATGCCTTCACAGTACTGGCTAATACCTCAAGGTACACTAGATGCTTTCCCAGCTGGAGACCAGTAACGAGTGGTGTCCCTCAGGGATCGGTGTTGGGACCGGTCTTGTTCAACATCTTTGTCGCTGACATGGACAGTGGGATTGAGTGCGCCCTCAGCAAGTTTGCCGATGACACCAAGCTGTGTGGTTCGGTTGGTACCCTGGAGGGAAGGAATGCCATCCAGAGGGACCTTGACACGCTTGTGAGGTGGGCTGATGCCAACCTCATGAAGTTTAACCATGCCAAGTGCAAGGTCCTGCACCTGGGTCGGAGCAATCCCAGGCACAGCTACAGGTTGGGCAGAGAAGAGATTCAGAGCAGCCCTGTGGAGAAGGACTTGGGGGTGTTGGTTGATGAGAAAATGAACATGAGCCAGCCTCTGTGTGTGCTCACAGCCCAGAAAGCCAACCATATCCTGGGGTGCATCAAAAGGAGCGTGACCAGCAGGTCAAAGGAGGTGATCCTGCCCCTCTACTCTGCTCTTGTGAGACCTCACTTGGAGTATTGTGTGCAGTTCTGGTGTCCTCAGCATAAAAAGGACATGGAACTGTTGGAACAAGTCCAGAGGAGGCCACGAGGATGATCAGGGGACTGGAGCACCTCCTGTATGAAGACAGGCTGAGAAAGTTGGGGCTGTTCAGCCTGGAGAAGAGAAGGCTGCGTGGAGACCTCATAGCAGCCTTCCAGTATCTGAAGGGGGCCTATAGGGATGCTGGAGAGGGACTCTTCATTAGGGACTGTAGTGATAGGACAAGGGGTAACAGGTTAAAACTGAAACAGGGGAAGTTTAGATTGGATATAAGGAAGAAGTTCTTTACTGTAAGGGTGGTGAGGCACTGGAATGGGTTGCCCAGGGAAGTTGTGAATGCTCCATCCCTGGCGGTGTTCAAGGCCAGGTTGGATGAAGCCTTGGGTGACATGGCTTAGTGTGAGGTGTCCCTGCCCATGGCAGGGGGGTTGGAACTAGATGACCTTAAGGTCCTTTCCAACCCTAACTATTCTATGATTCTAGGAAAAGGTTCATGTGTGGCAACAGCAAGTGTAAATCTGTAGTTCAAATAATCCTGTTAATTTTGATCATTTTGGCCAACTTTGTAATAGAACTGAGTAGACAGTCATTATTTTTACCTTCTAATGTGGCTGACAAAGAGCCTGTACTAGGAGTAGGGGAACTGTCAGCTCTAGTGTTTTCCTGTTAGTTGCATGTGCCCGCATTATGGGTATTACTTTCAATCACCTTAAGCCACTTGTCCATTTCATGATGGTTAGTTTAGTTAAAACCAGATAATATAATCAGTAAATCCACTTAACCTGGCACAAAGCAATTGAAACAGTCAGGACACTACTGTGAACCCCTCCACATTATACTCTTCCTTCAGGACACCTCCCATACCACATGTAAAATGTCAACATCTGACATAGAGACCAAGTAAGGGTGCCAATGTCAATGTATATATTAAATATTACTAAAGCCTATTTTTTCAAGATCTAAAATTTTCTTCACATGCCCCTATCTTCTTCACATGCACCCATCTTGCACATCCCCCTCCCCCTTTGGAGACTACTGCTCTAGTGGGCAACAACGTACTTCCAATGTCATTTACGTGATTGAGGAATATTCTTAGTGATCAGCCCCAACAAGGAAACACACTGAAGTCTGTATAGCTGTGATTAAATAATCTTTTCCACCTGTGTGACAACTGGCATCCTGAAGAATGTTTAAATGTATCAGCAATTAAACTCAATGCCACTGAAACGCACTAAAGCCTTGGGGGACATAACAAAATCAGAGCTACTGCACAGTTCTGAAGAGCAAGAAAAAGTCAACAACCTGGAAGAGTAAAAAGCAGCATGTGGACACAGGCAGCATCCTAGTTTTAGGAGTATTTCAAGTGAGCTAGTGAAAACAGCAGCTCTGTAAAACTCTTAAGAGTTTCTTTCTTCTTAAGTCTGAAGAAGCAGTTTGCTTCAATGATTTCAAGCATACTTTTTTACTTACGTCAGATGGAAGTTATTACCAAAGACATGATGAATTAGTCCATTTCACTCTACTACTTACCAATGGCATTTGCTGTCCAAAGTATCATCACTGCAACCTGTTCATAACATGCATACTGACTGATAGTTATATTCTGCACATCTCCAATCACGTGCTTTCCCACTGAATTCAGGTAAGGTGTGCAGTCTGAAAATACAGAGAAACAAACACCCTAAGAAAAACATTCTAGCTGATGTTCTTGTGCCATACCAGCGCAAGTAAATCACAATCTGTCAACAGCATCTAATCTTAAAGACCTATTCAAGCAACCAGTTTCCAACATGACCTGCATCATCATATAAATAAAGAATTGGGCTCATTTCCTAACATTTCTTCAGGATTAAGCAAAGTATATGTCCTCTATTTATTCTATAAAAATAAGTACTATGTAGTAAATCTAGACAGAGTTTTTGTCTCAGGACACTGAAAACCAGAAAACTTTACAAAACATTGAGCACAACCACATTCACCAGTTGCAAAACCATAGTTCCAAAGCAGATTACCAGATTATAATACGCGTACTACAGTAAGAGTAAAAATGACACAGGTTGGCACTCCCAAAAGAGAACAACTTTTCCTCACTAATTACTCTAAAGAATATGAGGACTGACATTAATTTTGCGTATGGACTGTGCTTACAGCAATAAAATGTCGGTCAAAGATCAGAACATTCGAGAACAATCAACAGTGTGAAGCATTAGAGTTGGTGCTCATGAAGTGCTTCTTAACCATGATACTGCTCGATCCTGACCACTAAGAACATGCTGCCTAAATCCTAAATCTGTCATCCCATTCAATAGCCACAATCCCATAGACCATTTTACGGCCACTGGATCCAGTCAGAACTGGTTTTGCCTTCTTATCCTCGCAAAACACAGAGTATTTCCTAAAGTTACAGCTCTGCAAACATGTAATTAGACCTCAGCTTTCATTATCAAATTTAAAAACCATTCCTGACTTTGTTGTTGAACTTGACCATGTCTTTATGCATTCAAACCCAGAAGACAACCCCAGATTTTAGTACTTTTAGAGCCTTACAATATTCAGCCTCATATTTTGTGACAGGAGGAGAAGTAGCAGCCAAAGAACTCAACAGTTCTGGAGCACAGTGTACATGAAGATGTGCATGCACAAACATTCTGCTTTGGAGGTCATGAAGCCAACAAAATCAGAAAAAGCTGACCTGCAGCTTTATAATACTGACTGATGATTAAGTCTAAAAAACCTGAGATAACCTACATGCTATGTATTCGTCTACACACTTGGTAGAAATGAAACATGGAAAATCAGCTGATTTATGCCAATACAGGAAATCCGAATTTAATTCGGAGGTGTGAGCTTAAAGGCAAGGAAAGAAAAATCATTAACTGAAAAGCAGTTTTAGAAAGTGTCTTTTTATTATGAGTAACAATGTTAAGGGGTCTTTCATGTAACTACCACACAAATAAGAATAGAACAGTTTGTACAACAGTGCCTTTTACAAAAGCAGGGCAGTCGGTACTTTGCTGTTTGTAGAATTCTGTTGCTATGAGTGAACTCAATGACAGCATGAACTTCCTCTTAGGAGGATAGAGGATCTCTTTCAATGGAAAATTTGAAGTAACAGTTTTTTGCTAGGTCTGGATCTAATTTACAGCAAGCCCAAGATTTTGGATCCTGGTTACTACAATTTTATGGTCAAATGACGATTTGCCAAAATGGAATATAGCACAAATGCCTGAAGTTTGACTGTGAGTCACTGATTTACATTTTTAAGGAACAACAGATTTAGGAAGAAACCAGTAGGGAAAAATTGCACTTTTCAGAAAATCACTTCTTTTACTTGAGTGCAAGGGAAATGCTAGAACATACAAACATTTGTTTTTCACCTGAATAAATAAATAATCTAACCAACTAATTTAACAACATCAACCACAGCTCACTAGAGCTGCTGTGTAGCAAACTAAAAGCCTTGAAATCACAGCCAGCAAGCCAAGTTCTCTTTTGTGCTGGCTTATTCATGATAAGTATGTATTTCCCTATTATATGAACTCCTTAGCCTTGATAGCAGGGAACTCTTTTCCTAGTTCTGCAGAGCTCAAATAACTCCTTTGTCCAGGAAGCAAACAGCGCCAGCAGAACTCTGAATTAACACTTGTCATTGGTTAAAGACAGTTCCTGGTGCCAGAACTAATGGAAAAAAACAAGACAAATACTGGGACTTAAACAGACTCCATTGTGTTAACTAAATGTGGGGATCTCTGCTCTGACTGATGTTATTTCCTGGTTTTCTTTGTGTAGCTTAAAAAAAGATCGGAACTTTTCTGTAGCCATCACTTACCTCTTGCACAATCTACCATACCTCATTTTTGCTCATTTTAAGTATCAACATCAAATTAGATTTAAAAAATATCTACAGTGAAGGACTGCAAATTCTTAACATAAAAATACAGGCACAAAAGGATGAGTGGAATGAAACAAAAGCACTATTGTTAGGTTTGCAGATACATACTCTCACTGGTGAAATTTTACCCACATTCAGCACCTGAGGTAATTTCTGTGGCAAAAAAAAAACCAACCAATCTGTGACATGCACTGGCATTAATACAAACATTACTGCTGTAAATCAGGACCTTCTCTTGATGGTACATAGGGTTTATCTTGATGTTGGCCACTAACTGCCCAAATAGATAAATTCCCAATGCAGTCAAACAGTCACTGACTAGACAGCAGAGATGACAAAAACTTTTAAAAAATGAGAATAGTAAAATACAGCAATTTAGCAGATGGTTGAAGACTTCTCAAGTATTATTGCTTCAAACTGCTTATTACTGTTCTTATGCTAAAGATTACTTTCCTCTTATTTTAGCTGCAAAACAGACCACATTTCCCACAGTACTACAACCATCTGTGTCACTGAAAATGCAGACAGGAGTTTTCCACTAACCTGGTCTTTTAACACTGTAGCTAATGAATAGTTCCAACTACTTCAACTAGATATCATCTTCAATATTCATATTCAAATCCCAACTACCTTGTCTACCTTGAGACACACTTTACACCATTTTCCCCCCAAAATTACACAAAGATATACAAAGCTTGATATAATCCTTTCCTATGACTTTATGTGGTGAACCTTTCAATTATTGTATTCTTTCACAGAATAAAATCATAATCTGTAATTTTCCAGCCAAAAACTGGGCAGATGATGTAGGCCAATTTGAAAGTGAAACTACTACAAATTATTAGATCATTTTATTAGCAGTGAAACACAGACAGGAGAAGATCCATTATACCCAGCAAAAACAAATCTAGATTTAAAAAAATACATCAATACTAAAGAGTTCATGCTACTCTCAGAGCCATTTTTAAGAGAGATACAATCAACTAGGTTGGAAAAGACCTTTAAGATAAAGCCCAACAATTACCCCAGGCCCACCAAACCATGTCACTAAGGGCCTTATCTACACAGTTTTTGAACTCTTCCAGACATAGGGAATTCACCACTTCCCTGACAGCCTGTTCCAATGCTGTTTCAATGAAGAAATTCTTCATGACATCCAGTCTACACCTCCCCTGGCGCAGCTTGAAGCTGCTTCCTTTCACTTGTTACTTGGGAGAAGAGACCAGCCACCTCCTTGCTTCATCCTCCTTTCAGGTAGTTTTCAGAGAGCAATAATGTCCCCCCTGAGTCTTCTCTTCTCCAGACTAAACAACCTCAATTCCCTCAGACCTTATATATAAGACCTGTGCTCACATGTTCCTATACACTGACAGCTGTGACGGAGTCCTTTATCTTTCTGTATATAGTGCAATTTTTCAACTTACTGTCATATTTAAAGGTGATATTGAGCAGTCCATTGTTCCTGGTGACTGATGACAGCCCCTGTAGAGAAATATCAAGAAAGTAATTTAAATAAAGTAACCTATTTTGAACTCATGTAGATTTTGATTTTATAAATAGTTCACTGGAGGACGAACGAGCTTGTGATTTTTTTCCTTCTGTTCTGGCACATTACCCACCAGTCTGACCACAGGCAATGACAGAATGGGTTGTACACATCTGCATGCGCTCACCTGTCAGCAACTTTCCAAATGTAATAATCAAAGAAGTGAAAACAAAGAGAAATTGAAGCCTGAATGTAGTATCTGCATGAAAACATGAAGTTGTGACTTAAGTAGTACGATCCCAGCAGAGGCGAACCACTTATTTCTGAAAGTGATGTGACATTCTCAACTTCTACCACCCAGGTTAAACGTGTCCGTACAAACCCCACATCTTTAATCAGGGTTTAATGACAAGTCAAATTGGGCTCTCCAGGGCAAACACAGTGCAAGGACAGAGAATGTCAGTCAGAAAAAGCTGATGTCAATTCTGCAGTCATGAAAAAGAGTATCAGAAGTTCAAACAAAAAGAAGGAACAACACTGCCAAGCACTGTGCTCATAGCACTTCAGTTCTATTTTCTTGGTGAAGGTCATTTTGAGGAAAGAAATTAAAAGGTAGGAGCAAAACAGTACAAGAACTGATTAAAGAGAACTCATCACCTCTCAGACACTCTTCAGCTCCAAACAGGTGCCTGAAGGACACTCTTTCCTATCTGTCTATTGGGCAAACAGACACACCGCATTTTCAGCACATGCTAAATTTATCTATAATCAAGTAATCCTTTTTTTTATTATTTTATTTATTATATTTTAATATTATTCAATGCTCACAAGAACTACACCGAACTCAAAGCTTAACATAAACTGAGGTACAGTAGCCACAGTTATGTAAAGTGGCTTATGGGCCTGGTTCATCAGCACAACCAAACTGTACATTTGAGAAAATTACTACAGAGCAAGTATCAATGTCCAGTGTCTAGGTACGTGCCTACATCTATCTTTCATCAATTTATCTTATGCAGATATAATTATATGTAATTCAAGTTTCTGTGCCTGATATAACTCCTGTGGAATTTACATTTCCATGTCTTATGTGGTTTATGCACTGGATCACTTTTCTGTTGGTTTTTTGTTGTTTTGTTTGGGTTTTTTTTATGTGAGAGGCCTCCATCATTTTACCACATGTCACAAACTTTTTAAAGAAAGCCTTGCTGAGAACAACTTAATTAGACAAAAACACAGATGGAGAATTTAAATTTCAATCTCTCCCACTGATTATTGGCTAAAATCAACAACCAGTCAAGGAAGAACAAACGAAACAGTGGATTTCCAACCGCCATAATTCAGATGATGCATCTCATGACTTTTCCAGTAGAAGTTCATATTGTAGAAATCCATTACACTAGACCAGACACCTTTTTCCATTATCAAATACTATTAAAGCAGATACTGCCATTCTTGCCAGTGTCACAGAAACTGAGGACCAGTCAGAGAACTTCTATTACTCTCCCAAGCAGGAGTCCAGACACATATGCAGACTGGTGAGTCTGCTCTCTCTTCTATGGCTACGGAAAAGAATTTCACCTTAGCCTTCAGAAATCACTGAAATTGGTTATGAAACACAGAATATTGCATCACCCTCAACAGAGGCAAGGCTGAAAACTGAACAATGATTTTTATTGAGTAGTATCATTTGCCTTGAAAGCCAAAGGCAAATAACATCATATTTACCATTATCATTAAAAAAAATACCAGTACTCCCCATTGACACAGAATTGTATCCAGGTTTAGTACTACAATGTAGAGAGCAGAAGTTAACAGTATAAAAGGACTCAAACAGTAATTGGATGTTGTCAGGATCACTCCTAAATATTCACTCCATGTCACTTAATAGCCAGAAACAGGAAGTTAGAAAGAAAAACAAGGTATGAGTTAAGTTACCATTAAAAAAAAAGTAAAACTCCACATAAAGGATGGAAGTAAATCAGATCTTGATAAGATTGTTAGAAGTTAAATTTGTAACGTCGCCTTCTTAGGTGGCTTTTCATTTGTTTAACTTTGATTTAGTTTGGCATTAAACATGCTGTTACACAAAACTGCTTCCTGAAGCAGGAAGGCATCGAGTTTTTTCAGTCTTAAGTCTTCTATGAATACCTGTTCTAGTCTGACTCATTTTCTGTTTCGCTTAAACTAAATGTCATTTAACTGACTACTACTACAGCAAAACAAAGACATGGTTTGATTAAAAAAAAAGTACTGAGCTTTCATATTTATAACTGCAGATAAACATCATCTAATTTAATTTTTACCTGTCTTCCTTTTGTGTCCTAGAGCTGAAGTTTTGAGAGACAAATTTCACCAAACCCCAGAGAAAGTCAGCACAAGTAATTTAATTCATTAGATGTATCTTTTATATCCCATATATTCAAAAAGTACCATGCAGCAGTGTAAAGGTGTCATGGCACCTTTAATTGCATTTCTGCTGGAATTATGGTGACATCATAAAATACGTAACACTTAGGAAGAAATCAATGTATCACTATCGTTAATGCAGCAGATGTAAAAAGTAAATATAAGGCAAACTCAGCTGAACTTAAGCAGCCCATGGCACGCACTGGTTGTAAAAACTTGCTCCAAAGTGTACAGAAGTTGAAAAAAGCTGGCATTAATCAGCAAGAAAATGAGGATCACCTTAAACTGTTGAACTATGTAACTGTCGTATCAGTAATGCGCTAAAGCATGTAAACTGGTCAGACGATTCCATCATGCTAAACTTTGGTATTAATCCCACAAGTAGTTACTGCTCTAAGTTTAAAAATGTACTCTTCCAGGAAGCAGTCCCTTGTTTTAAGCCATAAATTAACTGCTATTTAAATGGCTTATAGCTAAGGCAACTTGTTTAGAACATCATACTTTAAAACTACTAATGTTACGGCCTCAGGGCTCCACATTCTTAGCTAATTAACCACTAACATTTAACTTAACTAATTAACCACTAACATTTGTTGAATTTACATGCAGCTTGTATTTTATTCTGAACCTTACTAGAAAGCAAGCCTCCATTGCCTGGAGCTTTATCTACAAAATCCCTTTGGTCCACATACTTCTATGCACATTGACTGAGAAGGAATACATAGGAAAGAAAACAGACAAAACGTCTTTTATCAAGAACTATAGACCGCTGATCTTTAAACAGATAATTGAAGTTGAAATGCACACAGATTAAATTAAAAATAACCTTATCTGTTAAAAAGCAAGCATGTGGGCATATTATCTACAACATTAAACCTCAGAATATCTGAGCTCAAAACACCACAGAAAAACACGGTAAGCTAAGCTCCAAATCCTGCATCTATGTTGGGCATTTCCATCATGTATCACACACCCCAAATCACAGAAATCAGGGTTGGATCTATTCCTCAATCCACATGAACAGCTTGAATAGGTAAGGTTAAGATCCTAAGATACCCTACATCAGCACAGTTCTGAATAACACTAATACACATCATCTCCTGAAGAATTAATAACTCATTTGGACATTCAAGGCATGTGCAGGCATTTTATTTAAATACCCATCTTTCAACATGTATTAATAAGAGGCAAAGACTATTACACGAAGTTAACCTGTATTTTTGTTCATTTATGGTAACAACTTAATGAAATGCACTTACAAGTCTTTCTACCCATTACTACGCCACAGAGTAAGGATTACACTTCCAGAAACAAAGTCTAAATGTAATTTTTAACCACAGGAACTAAATGTGCCTCCAAGGAAAGTTAAACTAATGTCTGCCATCAGAGGCAGGGATTAAATACAATGGAAAAAAATTTAAAAATCTGCTTAATTTTTATTGTTGAACTTTTCCCTCTTCCTTTCATTCTAGCACATAGAGAGTTTCACATTTTAAATTAACATCTGTTTTTTGTATTTGACAATTCCTGCCAGAGACAGCATTGGTGTTTTCAGAACTGTCCTATGAATTACCATTTTTACAAATAATACTGAAATATACTCCGACATTCAACTGTTGTTGAGCAAACACTCTTCCATTCAATAAAGGCAACAGGGGCGCTGTCAGGCAGCCACTTTAACATCAATACTAGGAAACATAGATGCTAACACTAATTACAGAGATCTGGTAAAGGAGGTAGGAAATCACTATCCCTCAGGCGTAGCCTTGTGCACCAGACCAAAACAGTAATCATGATTCATCTTTCACATGTTGTTAATCAATGCACACATGGTCCTAATTTCATGCTCCCACAAGGCAAACTGAAGAAACAATTGTTTTTGAACTCTAACATCAAGACGAATAATCAAGGTTTATCATACTCATTGCTCAGTAAACTAAAAGCTTTATATTTGACATCTGCTCTTTTCATGGTACAGCTTTCTGATGCTTTCACACAAGTTAAAATATTTTCTATTTCTACAGTCATCAGTAAACAGATTATCTGCACTATTTACACACCTGCATTTTGGATGGTTTTCAACAGCATACAACAAAATACATAATCCACGCTAATATTTCCTATATAACTTGTATGTATTACATTGACCGCAGAATGAATTCTAAACCCTGGCTTGATGGGTTTATACTGTACTAATCCACTATAATGAAAAAAAAAAAAAAGCTATTTCATATAAGAATCTGGGAAATGTAACTTTCTTTTAAGAGTAACATGTAATACTTACTTTCATAAACCAAACATAAGGAACTCGTACTCCATTTGTGTAACAATTGTCCAGACCTTTTATGATCATCAAGTATCTTTTTTCACAAAATGACAACATTATCCATGGTTTTATGGTTGACTTCCCACATAGATAATTACACTTCGTCTGAACAAATTCTCCTGCCATTTCACTAGATATGGTTTTCTCAAGTTCCTCCTCTCATGAAAGGATATTGAACAGCTGCTGACTTAAATACTGCCAAAGAATGAGCTGGTTCCTGAATGTACACACATATAGTCATATACCAGCTAGCTTCACAGG